AAACTTTTGTGAGAATAAATCCGCCATCTTTGTTGTAAACAGGCAAAACATCCATAGAGATGTATTTGCCAAAAACAATATAAATAGTCAGCACAAGAGCTGTGAGACAACCACATTAATTAGTATCTGAAAATGTCTGACTGTGAGACTACTGCAGCATGAAAACACAACCCAGCGATATACTACAGTACTACTACTGCTACAAGGCAATCCCGAATTATAATTTCATATTAGTTAATTACTTTTATTAGTATTATTTAAATATCTCCCCATCTACAGCAATACATTCTGAAAAGTACTTGAGTAAAAGTATGTGTAAGAAACTTTGGTCACACAAATAGTGGTAAATGGTTCAGGTTTGGTAATAGTCTCACAATACAGCAATTTCAGACTTGATTTCATTACTATGGAATAGATATGATACTCATTACTGATTCCAATACAACTGTAATAATTAAAAAAACTCTCTTTTTGTCATATTTTCTTTTATATTATTATGAACTCTCATATCTGTGTATTCCCTTAAATGCGAATTATATAGTTCTGTGTCGACTCAACACACACTGCTGCCATCGCCTTGTCGCCGTCGTTTTTGATTTATGGATCTGCATCGAGGCCTATGCGCTGTGAAGCTATTCACCGCCACAACGCTAGGAGGCTAGGATTTTAAAATGGTGTTTGTTTATACAAAATGAAACGGGAAAGCGGAGTACCAGAAATGTATGTAGCCCTTATTGTCTGCGTCACTTCCCCTTGCCCCCTGTGTCATTTCGACGCTTAGAACATTTCGGAGGTGCACGTTGGTCGACACAGACGCTCTGTGAATGGGGTTCATGGAGACGGAGACAGAGTTGATGCTGGACCATAAACTGACCTTAAGTTGTCCAGTTAGTTTCTATAGTGGTGGATGGGTGTATACTCGTCTGTGTGGTCATTTACTTACTCTGATACAATTTAACATCAGTCTAAAGCTATTCAGGAAAGGTTTGCTTCTGTCCTGTGAATGTATATTTTTTAGTAATTGCACCTGCTCGGATGAGTATCTAGTTTCAATACTAGTTTTAGTATCAATTAGTATCTGATTTCCAGTACTTTTGACAACCATACTTAGTAACTACTTAATTAAAGATGGAGTAGTCCGGACTGGGGTTTTAATTATGTAGTTACTATAAGCCTGGATCCTTCTTAGAAATATTACAAGTCTTTTTCATGCTTTATTGTGGCTATATATGGTTATTGTAAGTGTTAGCTAAACATTATTCTTCCAATTGGCATGAATAGCAAAATGTGTGCATGAATGATAGATGGACATTTTCCACGGTACAGTTTATGGCTCTTTTAAACCTAAAACTGTATACGCGGTTAAAATGCACACTCACACACACATTTGGCTGGGAGCTATGTTACATATTCATAAAGCTAGTATTATATAGCTGCCTGACATGCCTCCCTCTATTTTGCCTCTAACCCTTTTCCTAAAAATAGACGTAGGGTTTACTCAGCTCTCCGTGAAAGACAAGGCTTGACGTCTCAGCTTTTCTTTTTCTTTTTTTTTTTCATTTGACCAAAAGTGTAAAAATGCGTGAATATCGTGGTTAAATTTGGCATAGCTTAAAGGAGAACTCATTACTTTAGATGATAGCGTGACCAATGTGATGGTATGGCTACAATAAGATGGGAGGTGGTGTGACTAAACTGCATCAGAGTTTATGCAATTGGTAATAGCAATATAACGGGGAAAGTAGATATAGGACAACTGACTGTAGCACAATTGTAATGCTATTTCTAGGATGGCCTATAGTCACTGCTGATTTTAAAGCTGCTAAGATATAAGTGTTTGTTTAATTTTTACAGGAAGGGATATGTCTACTAAAGCTTTTGTACTACTTGAAGACCACCCCAGTCTGCAGTTTTTGGTATTAATATCATGATAGGTGAATATCAGCCTATCTCTAGTACAGAAGTAAATGAGGAAATGCAATAACTCAGCCGCACTCAGTCTGTTGTACATTATGAAAAAGATACAGATATTCACAATATTAAATACCAAAGTAACTGAGCGAGTGTCAGTACAAATGAAATCTTCTAACAAACTGAAATGCACCAGTTACTGCAGGGGGTAATTATAATACTGCCATAAAAACATTGAACAGATCGCAAACTTTCGTGGGAGTAAATCCGCCATCTTTGTTGTAAACAGCCAAAATATCCATAGAGATGCATTAGCCAAAAATAATATAAATAGTCAGCAGAAGAGCTGTGAGACAACCACATTAATTAGAATATGAAATGTGTAACTGTGAGACTACTGCAGCACAAAAACATAATCCCAAACTATCTACCATACTACTATTGTAATAATTATAATTCCATAGCTTCCTGAATACAGCAATATATTCAGTAAAGTACTTGAGTAAAAGCATGTATAAGAAACTTTGGTGACAATACAGTTTTTACATGAAGGGACATGTTTACAAAAGCTCTTACGCCCCATGAGGACATAGCCTAAATAATCAGCCGGTTTCACTTTGTTTCACTTCATAGAAACCATCTGACCTCGCAGTGTCATTTAACCAATCTCTGCTCTTTGGTAGTCACATATGTAATGTGCCACTAAAGGGGCTAACTGGTATATTAAGCTTTTTCCAAATCCCGTAGGAAGAAGGACAATAACGTCTTTCCCCTTGATAAAATTCACCAAACATTCTCTTTATTCAGGCTTTGAATCCTCAATCTCGGGAATCGTTGACAACACTGTATATATTTTGTGAACCGTCTAGTGTAGTCTAGTGTTTGATTCCTGACCTAGTTGCTGGAGAGAAATGAAATTGAGTGGAGGCACCAGCTTGGCTAATGAGGACCACCCCAGTTGGATTAACCCACAGTATTTGTTAGTAAACATATTATGATTGCTAAATACCAGCCATTCTCTATTACAGATGTAAATAAGGAACTGAGCCACATTGTACATTCTGAAAAAGTAATGTGCTACTATTCTGCTTGGTCTGTGAACTTTGAGAAAGAATCTTGGGTATTTCTTCAACAAAATTCCACAAAGTAAAAATTCTTCAAAAGTCCTAATATCAGAATGCTACCAAAACATTTATTCAGTACAGTAATTCACATAGTTGTACATGACATCCCCAAAAAATTCAGCTGAAGAAATTGCTTTAGAAAAAAACTCTTGTGTTACTTGTGACAATGACAAAGGAGAAACCACCGTGAGCACAGTACAGAGAACAAACTCCATAATAGCAACAGCTGTAGCCACCAGATAACTCCAATTAACACATGCGACCCCTCCCGCCCCTCAGCCCCCTGCATATGCCGGTCATTTTTACATTCATTATTCACATACACAAAACTTAATTAGAAAACAAATCACACAGCACCTCTCTCAATATTCAAACCACAACATTAGTCAACAAATTGCAAATAAATCTGAACAGCTTTAGTCTGTCTTTGCTCTTGCATCTTATTAGTATTTTGTCTTTAAAAGTGCACCATATGTCTGGAATATTTCAAAGTATTCAATTACATGCATTTTATCGCTGAAAATAGAACCATTGCTATCTTGTCTGTCTGTCTCCAAATAGGTAAGTTTAATACTATGATGTGGAACATTCTAGACAAAGTAATAACATCACCATGGAGATAAGCCAGCGAACAGACGCGGCTACACAGTGCACCTTTGTCGTATGATCTGTTATAGGAATACAAAGTGCCTAACAACAATGATCATCAGGAAACAGAGGCAGCGTATGTGATTGATTTGAAGGTGCACTGCATAACTTTTCAGATGTGGGTTACGCCGGCTGTTTGTCTCTGTAAAGATGTTATTTGCCCAGAATTCTCCACAGTATGACATTAAAACATAACGTGTCCATGGTCACAAGTTATTACGGTATTGGTCAGATCTGTGGAGAGTTTGAGACTTTGATTAATAGAAGCACCTGTAATGAAAAGAAAATGCTAGATAATTTTTTTTATGCCTTACTATTGAACATTACAGGTAAAGCGATAAGACAGTGCACCATTAAAGCAAATGTAATCCTGGGATTTTCATTAAATTGATTTTGTCTAGAATCTATGGATGAAAGTGTCTGTTTAAAATTGTTCACTGTAACTTAAATATTTACTATGGACTTTTTTTTTTTTCCTCACCAAAGCACATCATTTGAGTAATCAAACTTGAATTAGCTCAGCAAACATTACCAGTCCTATTCCCACAATATATCACCTTCTGCCTGAACAGTGAGACAGAGCCGCACTGGATCTCAAAAGACTGTAATTAAAAACTTCTGTATGCTGCTTTGAGATTTCAGCACAAGTACTTTTCTTTACAGTAAACTAATAGAAAAAAAACTTCAAGAATTTGATTGAGGTCACGCTGGTTTTCTTTCACATACCGCAAATGAATAGTGGACTAGACTCATTTTTCGATTCTTTTTCTTAGTATTTTTTCAATTGTTGAACCATTCAGCAAATTAAAGGTTCAAAACTAGGTGAAAGTTTTAAAAAAATCCACCAGCTCACCAAACAACCTCTGTGTAAAGCTTTCACAATCTAAATAATACTAAGACCAGTTATATTATCTTTAATCAATAGTTACAGTTTTCACTTGTCTAACCTTGATTTTAAAACTGCACCAAGAATCCAGATTGAAAACTGACATTGTACCACCCACTTGCCTTTAACCAATATTAACAGAAAACAGATTATGAAACAATATTTACTTTAAAGCTCCTTAAAAATTCTAAATATTACACCGAGCAAAGGATTTTTAAAAATAAACTGTTAACCTGGCCCACTTAGTCCTTTCTCACGCTCATGCTTCCTCACTTTTCACCAGTAAGCTGCTTTTACAACATACCATAGGGATTAAAAATGTGTTTTTTAGGAAACTAGAAGAAATACAAATGAGGTACAAGACCTTTAAGCACTACGACAGGGCTCAGCTATGCCCTGGGCCAAACTAATAGTACTTTAAAGTGTAGTACCTGTATTCTTCCTGAGTGAAGACTGGGATGACTGAAGGCTGTAATACAGTGATCTCCACCAGCGCTGAGCTCTTCTTAATAGGAACGCCGTCGTCATAGGCAACCACCACCAACTGTCCATCACACAGAGAAAACACACAAAAGTTATGTCTAGTATGGTTTAATGTGCTTGTTGGAGCAAGGATGAACTAGTCATCTTTACTTCTTTCTGTTCTTTTCATACTTTGCAAATGATGGCAGCAGCATTCACTGGGAGTTGATGCTAACTGGAGGCTCTTCTCTGTCTGGAGCTCAATTATTCAAGTTAGATTTTAATCTGAGCTTTGTTTTTACACAATCTGACCACATTGAACTAAGTTAGTTGGAATAACAACAGGTGATTTGATGTTGTATTGTTAAACAAGTCCTTCTCATTTAACATTGCAGTGTTGCTAGAATAAATCAAACTATACACCAAAACAAATGTACAGTTTCAATCCACTTTGTATTTTTTCTTTTCTATGGCAACTGCTGTATGTTCTGCCTTAGACATGCATGCACAACACCCACACTGCAAAGTATCAATACACATTTGTTCACATAGTTTTGCTGTTTTTGTTTTATAATATTATTAGAACAAAACATCACAGAATAAAGCTAAAATATTTATTAGATTAGCATGAAATATTGAAAAAAATATGTGGAATGACAGGTGGATTGACCAATAAGAAACCCAGGGATTATTCTATGTAGAAACAAACATGGCGATTTATAGGCATATGAAGACATGTTGGAAATCTAACAAATAAAAACAGAATTGAGAACAGTGTGGACTTCTGTCATTACAGCAGGTGAAGAAGTAAGTGCTTCATGGGAAGTAAGTTAAACAGTTTTTTCTAAATGGTCTTGACATATTTAACACATTTCGGCAATTGGTTGACCTCAAACTTCAGAAGGATTTCCTGTGAGGAGATCATCAGACCACTCTTGTATTCAAAAAGAAAGTACAACTAATTGGCTGGCTATTCCAATCAGTGTTGGGAAGGTTACTTTTAAAATGTATTCCCCTACAGATTACAGATTACATACCCCAAAATGTAGTTTGTAACGTAATCCATTAAATTACCTAAAGTGAGTAACATAATCTGAATACTTTGGATTACTTGATATTGTCATGCTTTTTAAAATGGCATGAATGTAGCAACCACATTCTGAAAATTCTTGTTTGTTCTCTTCAAATTGTCTGTTGAGCCCAAGTCTCCATGAATAAGCAACTGTTTGCTGTAGAGAAGCAAAGACCAGGATCTGTTAGGATTAGGATTTGGATGTTAACGTAAGATGTTTTAGTCCTGGTTTTAGTAATGGTTTAGTCCTGATTTTAGACCTGGTTTAGTTCTGGTTTAGTCCTGGTTTTAGTCCTGGTTTTAGTCCTGATTTTAGACCTGATTTTAGGCCTGGTTTAGTTCTACTTTAGTCCTGGTTTTAGACCTGGTTGTGTCCTGGTTTAGTCCTGATTTTAGACCTGGTTTAGTTCTGGTTTAGTCCTGATTTAGTCCTGATTTTAGACCTGGTTTAGTTCTGGTTTAGTTCTGGTTTAGTCCTGGTTTAGTCCTGATTTTAGACCTGGTTTAGTTCTGGTTTAGTTCTGGTTTAGTTCTGGTTTAGTTCTGGTTTAGTCCTGGTTTAGTCCTGGTTTAGTCCTGGTATAGACCTGGTTTAGTCCTATAGTTTAGACCTGATTTAGCCCTGGTTTAGTCTTGGACTGGTTTAGTCCTGGTTTTAGTCCTGGTGTTAGTTCTGGTTTAGAGGCGGACAGGAGGAAGCGCGGTCTACATAGCGTACGCAAGAAACATGACATTTACATCGCTCTTATTGCGCGCGTTCTGTTTGGGTTTCCGGCAATGAGTGGAATTACCGAAATAAAAAAATAAATAAATGGGATGTAGCACAAAATGTGAAAACAGGAAAATACCGCCTTGTAATCCACTTATTTCAGCAAAGTAACTGTAATCCAATTATCATTGAAAACAGTAACTGTAACCAAATACAGTTATTCATAATTTGTACTCTGATTACGCAACGGAGGTACATGTAATCTGTTACTCCCCAACACTGATTCCAATAATTACCCAAGAAGAAGACCATTGATTGCAGAGAAATGTGTGAATATGCGTTATCTATCCCAGTGGTATCCTTATGTTTTTCTTACCTTTAAATGGGTTTAATTACGAGCCAGCTACTGCTACCTTTGTTTGTTAGAGCCATCATTCAATTAATCTAATCAGTAATTTAACTTATACTCACAGATTTAATATTTAATTTATTCTTAAAAACAATTATGAAAAACATGATTCCTAATTTTCTAAGTATTAAAGGCGCACTGTGTAACTTGTCTGGTAGAGGGTGAATGTTCCACAGTATGGCCATAAACTTGTGACTTTCCATGGAGACTTACAAGCCAAATTAACTAATAAATAACACTTGTAGTTGAATAAATGGGGACAGATTAGTTCAATACCATACTGTGGACAATTTACACCAAAGAATTATCATCTCCATGGAGGCAAACAGGCTGGGGACCCTCTCTAGATAAGTTACACAGTGTACCTTTAAATTATTTTAGTAATTTTACATTCCTTTTGTTTATAGCAGAAGAGGGTGAGTCTAAGAGGAAATATGGGTCAAATAATTAGGTCAAATGGGAAGACAGTCATGTGGATCAGATTTGACCACACACACATGCTTTTATGAATAATTATGAAAAAAAAATGACATTAAGTGAACAACAGACGACAAGTGCTTGTATATTAATGAATTTTGTGTGAGTCAAGAAGCAGGTACCCGTGTTGTGCTTGTAGTTTGTGCACATGAACCGGTGAAAAAGAAATGATGCGTGTTCTTCCTACTATGATGTGAGGCAGAAAATCGAGTTAAAGTAAAAGCATTTAGGAGTAATCTCAGAGTTGCAAACAGTTTGACAAGACAGCTTTGAATCGCGGGTGCAAATAAGGTAGGATTAATCCCCCGGGTGATGTAACTCCTTGAACGGCTAATTAGAGTCCAGTGAAAAGCGGGAATTAGCTTAGCCCAAAGACGCTTAAAAGGTGCCGTATTAACCACTAAGACACTACGGCTATGTCGTGTCAAAGAGAATTATGTTATATTGTATTAAATTATATTGTATTGCATTGTATTGTATTGTATAATAATAATAATATTCACACTTTTAAGCATTCATATACTCATGGTGTATTTTGCCCATAAATCAAACTTGGCTTCATTCATTTGAATCATTTCAGATCCATTTGCAACACACCTTATTTTATGCAGAAGTGTGCAGCCCCGATCTGAGGCTCTGAACTCGAAAAGACAAATCTTGACTCAAATCTAAAATCGTTTTCTTGGTTGGAAAAATTGGAGCCACTGGTTTACACTTTTACTGGTTTTATGGTTTCACTTAAATTCACCACTTTTCCTGTTAAGACTCACTATTTTCATCAATTTTGTTTAATCTTGAGTGCCATTTACGTGGTTTAGACTTTGCACTAATGCCAATTTTGAAAATAAAAAGGCGTGTCTCCATCTCAGGTATGAACAGTCACATGACACATTTATCAGGTCAGACTAAGACCAGAAAATGTTGAGTTCAGTTCAGAGACACAGAGGGAGAAGGATGCATCTGAACAACCATTGCAGCTCCAAAATTCAACAATAAAGTAACTCAAGGCTTCTACTTGAGCTGTGAAACCTGCTCTGGGCTTTGGTGATTGTAAAGAGGGCTTCTGTTATGGCAGCAGAGAAAGTGAAAGTAGATGTATGCAATTGTACTAGTAGGAATCAAACTGCTAAACATCTGGTTAGCAGACTGAGGCTATACTCACTGATCATCAAGTTGTGCATTATAAATATATATTTTTACACTTTTGATGTTGTGTGGTGATACAGGAAGTGCTCCATTGTGTTCAACTCCATACACATTCACATTTGCATAATTTCAGCCCTGGAATTGCCCATCTCTACTGAACAAAACATAAAAGGTAGTTAACTTGAAAACTGCCACTTCATGACATCACCAGGTGAGATTTGGTTGATGTTTACATACTAACAATAAAGGGTTACTTAAACAACTTCAGGAATGTTTTTTTGGGCGCGAGAACATTCTAACATGGCTTAAAGCTCACAAGAGTAAATTGTGCATGATATAGGACCTTTAAAGATGGTGCAAGAGTGCTCAAATCACTTCAAATACAACTTGAAGTGGGTAGATGAGACAAAGAAAAAACTATAACATCCTTAAAAGCTTTGAAAAGTCAATTTTGCATAATAGGCCTGCTTTAATATTTTCCTCCCACTACACCCTGCACCAGCGCCCAAACTTGAAGCCGGATACTTCAGATAAATGTTTAAATGTTGTTGTTTTTTTTTCTTGTAATGATGTCTCCATTGACTACAGTGCTGGTGCCAGTGTTTACAGAATCAATGTGATGGATTAGGAATAAAATTAAGGAGTGCTGCATGCTGTATTTAGCCAGTGCACTAAACTCCAAGTCAAAATTTATTGTCAATTCAAACTCTCTCGGGAGAACTTTTTCACTTAGCACATCAGATTGTTAAATGTTTCATAACAGTTGTAAGGAGTGTTTATTATAGCTAATAAATTATATTACAGAATTGGATCAAACAAATGCACTCAGTCCTAAGCATTGCGACAGTAGCTCAGTGGTAGTGTATTTGTCCTCTGATTCAAAGGTTGGAGGAATACTGTCATTGTGTCCTTGGGCAAGACTCTTCAACCACCTCGTACATAGTGTCTGCGTACATTGGTGTATGAATGTGTGTGTGAATGGGTGAATGATTCCTTTATGTAAATGTCTTGAAGGTAGAAAAATCTTATGTGACATTTATAAACATCCTATTCACAATTTTTCACTCTAAATCTAGCATGAGGTTGGCATTAAAGTAGCGTAAATTGTCCATATTGGGCCTGCTATTCATGCTGCTATTCAAGTTATGGCATTAGTCCTCCATGGTCATAGCAATTAAGCAATACAGATCTAAATACTACATCTTTTGAAAGGGAAAAGGTCCTCAAAGAGGGCCTGAACTCAGGAATTATTTGTCTGAAACCCAAGAATATACTGTATTATTTTGAATATATTATTACCATTTATATTTCACCATTTATGTGTGAGCTACTGTGTCCAAATAATTTCCTTTGTGGATCAATTAAGTTTGTCCAAGACTAACCCTTTTCACTGATGGAAATCGACATATTGGGTAAAAACATACTTCCTCACATGTCAAACCACAGTACCCCACTACGTGCACATTGGTCATATTAAATCAATAACAGGTTTGAATCCGGAGGGTCCACAGATGTATAAATAACTCACAGACACAGAAATGTTTTGATATATAGGTCATAAATTGTGCCAAAGCATGCTGGTTTAATGTGACAGAAAATCGAAGTAACAACTGTGGAACAAACCATCTGGCTGCTTGGTCAGGTTATAAGATTTCATTGCTTCATTGACAAGTAGACAACCTCTAACAGCAATCAAATTCAAGACAAATTTACGCTATAAACATTGTACAGTGTTATTAATACATTTTTGGTTATTGTCCCTGTAGGGACATTTATCATCAGCATTTGACCCATCATTCAATGCCACTTGTGTGACCGGTCAGGGGCAGTGGAACGGGTTGCCAGATTTTTACACAGCAACAAGCAACCCGAGCAAGGGAGCTAATTAAAACAAGTGCTAATGAGATGCGCATATTTTAATCACATATTTAATGTAACGAACATATTGAAAATGTTCACTATCATTACTGGGTGCAAAGGTCTTACATTATGCAAAATGGGCCCTTGTGAGCTGTAAGTAATTTCCTCAAAAACATACCTGGAGTTGTGTTTTGTTTCATTCACATATGGTAGAGTAATCCTTTATTATTTGTCTGCATCACCAAAGCTCAGTAGAGAGTTTTCTGAAGAGATTGGAAATTCCAGGGCTGAAATTATCTAAATGATTCTAGACAAGATGTATGGAGTTTAAAAACTCGGTGAAGCACTTCCTGTATTACCACATGACAGGACAAGATGGAACAGTGTATTTGAGAAGAACTCATTCTAAATACGCAGGATTTGTGTGGTGAAATGTGTGAATAAAAGAAAACACGTGTGATGAGAAAACATTATAACATAGATCTGAAAAGAGTGTAATGTGGACTCTTTACCATGAAACAGAACTGAAAACGTGCTTAAAGCCATGCTGTGAAAGTGCATCTCAGGAACAAGCCAAAAAAAAACACAAACCGCAAATGTTCAAATTTGTTAGCGACTTTCTAAAAATCAAAAAAGAAATCCCAAAGTCGTTATAAAGAAGCAAACTTGGCAACTCTGCAGTGGACTTGGTTTGGTCAGGACTTCATAGCTGGATCTTATTCTGCATGTTTTCAGTCATCTCAATGCAGAAAACAAAACTACAGATTGGTATATAATTTGTGAATACTTACACTGAATTTGAAGTTGGGTTCTTCATTTAAGTTCACTCTGGTCAGTACTTGTCCCTTGTTTTCATCCACCTCAAAAATACTGGCAGAGTATGGGTAAGCCTCATGGTCAACTCTGTAGCGAATAAACCCTGCTGGAGTCCCCTGGAAAAAAAAAAAAGATAAAATTAGTAACAACAATTTAATGACTAGTTAAATGTCAAGCAGGCTGCCCTTGTTGTGCTGAAGTGCATCCCCATTTGAAATAAAGTGGTTTCATTAAGTAATTTCACCTTAGGGATTAATTATCATGCACTACTAAATTTCAAATGCCAGAAAATACATACAATTACAGAAACAATTCAGTAACAATTATACAATATATAATCACTGTTTGCAAACAAAGAGACAAAAAAATGATGAACTCACAAATGAAACCTGTTTTTAGAGAGCAAAGGAAACACCATTTAGCAGGAAAAAGGTGAGCTTAATTTGCTTTTAGTATTTAATTATCATGCACTACCAAATTTCAAAATGCCACAGAACACATACTAAAATTGATAATTAAAAGTCTGACAATTGGTGACAATTATTTCATAAAATATCATTACTATATGCAAAAACTATTATACAAATCGAGAAAGAGGATTTTTTCTTTTTTTTTAGCTGAAAAAAGGTGCACTTAATTTGATATTATTCTTTAATTGCTCTAAACTTCATTCAGATCACGCAGGGCCACAGTGATTATAGGCAAAACGATTAGTGTGGTACTTTGCAGACAAACAGAAAAAGGAAAAGTCTAGAAACTAAACCCAAGGTGAATGAGAAGCTTTTGAATATGTTTTCCCAACTAGTTGTGCAATACATCATTTATAAAGGAAAAAGAAAATGTGCTACTTAAGTATTATATATTGTCTTTTTTTTTTTTTTTAAAGATAAACACTTAAGGTTAATTTTTAAGGTAGAATAAATAGTAACATTGCAATAAAATCCATTGTAGCACTAGCAGCAATAAAAGTAGTAAAAATAGTAATCGGGTAGATCTAACTTTGATTATATGTAGTAAGTAAGTAAGTAAGTAACTGTAAGCTGTTTCCTCTTTAAAGGTGCACTGTGAAACTTTTCTTGTGGAGGGTCTGCCATTTGCTAGTCTTCATGGAGAGCCAGGCTGGCACCACCTAGCGCCTCCACTCAATTTCATTTCTCTCCAGTAACTAGGTCAGGAATCAAAATACCATAGACGGTTCGCAAAACTCCGAAAGTGCAAGTTCGGGCACCAGCCAATCAGCGAAGAGTCATATATTCAGTGTTGTCAACTATTCCCGAGATCGAGGATTTAAAGCCAGAATAAAGAGAATGTTTGGTGACTTTCATCAAGGGAAAAGACGTTATTGCCCTTCTTCCTACGGGATTTGGGAAAAGCTTAATATACCAGTTAGCCCCGTTAGCGGTGCATTACGTACGTGACTACTAAATAGCAGCGATTGGTTAAATGATAAAAAGTACCCGCCTACTGTCGAGCAAACAAATTCTAACACTGCGAGGTCAGACGGTTTCTATGAAGTGAAACGAAGTAAAATCGGCTGATGAATGGCTATCGGTATGGCATTAAACATATCCACCTCGACCTAAAAACTTGCATTCTTACTGTAATGGGCTCGCCTCTCCACAGATCTGATACTAACTTGGCCCTGTAGTGTCACCTGCTGTCTCAGTAGAGATAAATAAGTGTAAATGTCATAATGTGGAACATTCCAGGCAGTATTGCCACAGAGAGAGCAGGTGACGGCCCTTCACCAGAAAAGTTAGAGTGACCTATGTTTAACCTGTACTCCAGTAACTATGAGTATTTTTACTTACAGTAACTACAGTATTCACTACACTTCTTCCCCTTATGTTGTTCTGATTTCTTTAGCGAAGTTTATTAGCATTTTTCTTCTTTGCGGTCTCCCAGCAGCACGTCTACAGTGAGCTCTTCATTCCTGTCAGACTCTTGATTAAGTAACTGCTTATAGTGAGTCAGCAAAAACTCCTGCTGTGACAAATTCCTTCAAAGATTTTCACTGCAGTGGTCTGAAGGGTACAAATGGCATTTACAAGAAATGAATATATCTATCCACCACTATTAAAGGTGCAGCGGAAGGCCATTTTGAGTTCTGGGAGTGCTTTTATGGCCCAGTGTAGTGCGTGTAATGTTTTCGGCGTGAGTGAACAGAACTGGCTAATGGGCGATTTTCAGGTTGAAGTCCGTCTGGTCCACGAAGAGTAGCATTAGCTGAAATACACCGTCCTTGAAGCTGTTTCACACAAAGATTAGTGTAAATACAATGTAAAAGTGCTGTAAAAGTCCGAGAGCCGCTTTGTCCACTAAATTTGTGCTGAAGAGAAAAATTATATGCAACTATTATGACCCTATGTGAGTAAAATCTGTACTGATTGAAAGAGCTCTTATTACACTATTTTCTGATTTATGGTACAATGTTGTTTCCTCATCACAAACATACCTGGAGTTGTGTTATGTTTCATTCACACATGTTTAACGCACAAACTCCGCATATTTAGGCTGCGTACTTCTCAAACAACATCAAAAGCCTTATGTTCCACCATGCAATGTCGTAGTAATACAAGAAGTGCTCAACTGTGCTTTTAGAATCCATACACCTTCATTTGGATAATTTCAGCCCTGGAATTGCCAATCTCTACTGAACAAAAGGTAAAAGGTAGCTGTTAACATGACATCACAAGGTGGAACAGAGCATTTTGAACTTTAGAGCTGTAGACAGATTGATAATAAAGATTTAGTGAAACGTGTAATGAAGCACAACAACACTGGGTATGTTTTTGATGAGGTAACAACATTCTTTTAAATGTACAGTTTTCAATGTACAGATGTTATAGTCTGATTCATCAGCTGGTTTTACTTTGTTTCACTTCGTACAAACCGTCTGACCTCGCAGTCTTAGATTTCATTCGCTCGACAGTAGGGTGGTACTTTTTATTATTTAACCAATTGCTGCTATTTGGTCGTGACGTATATAATGTGTGGCTAATGGGGCTAACTGGTATATTAAGCTTTTCCCATATCCTGTAGGAAGAAAGACAAAAACGTCTTTGCCCTTGATGAAATTCACTAAACATTCTCTTTATTCCGGCTTTAAATCCTCGATCTCGGGAATTGTTGACAACACTGAATATATGAGTCTTCACTGATTGGCTGGTGCCCAAACTTGCACTTCTGGGTTTTTTGCGAACCATCTAGAGTATTTTGGTTCCTTACCTAGTTGCTGGAGAGAAATGAAATTGAGCGAGTCACTAGATTGCGCCAGCCTGGCTACAGATGTTACCCAAGCCAAATGAATTACTATTACTACTTTGATTGTTGCTACTATATTATGGTAACACTTTATGACTGCAGTTTTAATCTGCATGAAATTCATACTCATAATTCATAATGAACTAATAATTTATTAAGAATTATTCAGGCTTAGTAATTATTTAATTAATACCCTAACTACTAATTCTAACCCTTTAATTAAGTAGTTACTAAGCCTGAATCATTCTTACTAAACTATAAGTTCATTGGGAATTAATTCTTTGTTCATGTATTATTAAGTATTAAAGACTTATACTTACTACAAGTAGTACCATTATTACTATTGCTATGTAGTTTTCAGTACAGTTTCAACTATCTGTAATCTGGTTTTAATGCAACTAGCTTCAACTGTAATTTTTTTTTATTCTCTGTAATGTCTGCAAAGATGTAATATTGGCTTTAATTATGAGGTGTTTTTTTTTTTTTTTTTTTTTTTAACATTTACTTCAACTTCAATACAGTGTCTGCTATTTACAATACACACAACTTTGATTATTATTAGTCTATCACTGCACCAAATTATTAGGATCAAAATATAATTAATCATGCCTACATAAGTTGCCTTTCGAACCAAAAAATCTCTAGTCAAGGCACGTTTAGCAGATACGTACTAATAGAGTGCTTTATTTGAAGATTTACTGATGATGTCCAGTGAGATGTTTTCGTTATGCTACTATATTTTACGAAATTAAGTGCAAAATGACTCAGCAAATTGAAAGTGGAATTGAGTTCAGACCCCGCTATGAGGATTTTATAACCTATTAAGTGTCTGGTTAACGACAGCAGACTTTATAATGGCTCACAATGGAACAATCTGAAGTGAACCAATTTATTACAATCGCGAAAAATTAGCGGACGAAAACTCAAAGGGCTAATATCAAATGCTATTGGAGTAGGCTCAGCTTGAGAGGGCCAAATACAATGTTGTTCAATCACACTATCCAGGAAAAGAGGATTTGATAGAGCAGTAACAGCCCACCACAGGGTCCGAATCGTTGGCCGTCACCGTGGTAACCAGGGTCCCCTTGAGGGCGTTGGGGGCCACCATGCCTCGGTACACCTCCTGACTGAAGACTGGGGAGAAGTCGTTCATGTCCTGAGGAAACAGAATAGAACACAGTATATTGGATTTTCTTCAGTTGATGTTAGAGACTACAATGTTATATATCAACACTATTGCATTTGTAAAAGGATGGGGGATCAGAATTTAATAGGGATTAATAAAAGTTGTGTTATTTGCAACATCAGATGAGATCACCCTTCATTTGTGTATTTCTTTTTTTCCCCCAATTGTAAAAAAAAAAAAAAAAAAAAAAAATATATATATATATATATATATATACACACACATACATATACATATATACATATATACACACACACACACACCCCACACCTTTTGGTATTGTCATGTTAATACTAGGGATGTAACAATATCCAAATCTCTTGGTACATTTTTTTTCACAATATGCATCTCATAGCACAATATTTATTGTGATATTTTGTGGAGGCTAACAAAATAGTAATTAAGCTACTTTTTTTGGTTCTGTCACAATCTAAAGAATTGAGATCTAAAAGTGTTTAATAACAGTTATTTGTAGTCTGCACTGAAACAGAGCAAAAGATCGTGGTTTCCTTGTGTAGTTCCCTTGGTTTTTTCTATTGTTGCACCACAAAACAATAAATATTAAGCAGAGCCTTGTAATTTGATATACTTGTGATGGCCAAAGACATTATTGTGAAACTTTTGATGATAAGATATCACACTGTTTTGGCTATTGTTACATCCCTAGTTAATACACCATATGTAATGTTTATATATACAGTATATATAAACATTACATATTACAGGCACATTACAATACATGTGAAATACACAGATTTCATTCATTTCTTAAAAATACTGTCATATTAGATTGATGAGCAGCCCAATGTATTTATGAATGTATTTATTTGTTGTAGTATAAAGAGTTACAGTACTTCATTTGACTTCTCTGGATCAAATATATTGGAAAGTCACTTCTAGCATTCAAAAACATCTAGAAAGTGGACTGATAAGTAATGGTAATAGAAATTTGAATAACAGTGGAAATATTGCAGGGGTAGTCTTATAAAACACCAGGGGCTCTTAATCATGCATTACTCATTCGTTTCTGTAGCCACAGCTGCCCTGGGATAGACTGACGTAAGTGAGACTGCCAATCTGCACAATGACTCACTCACAGACCACAGTCATACACAGACCAGATGGGTAAAATAAAATATAAAAATCAGCAATGGTCAGATCAGGGAATTAACTCCCAACTTTTGGAAACAGGGAAACACACTACACCACTAAGCTACTGCCGCACCAAGTGAATAAAAACAGGACATAATCTATGAACAAATATTAACCCAGAGTGACTGCACATCCTCTCACTCACCATGATAGTGACAGTGACCGAGGCCAGTCCAGGAGGCATGGTCCCGTTGGAGTCTAGAGCCTCCACTATGAAGGAATACGTGGACACGGACAGTTCCTCATAGTCCAGCACTCGAAGCACACTCAACTCTCCAGTGTGAGGGTCCACTCTGAAGAGCTGCTCCACCCCTCGGTCTGACCCCTCCGCTCGGATCCGATATGTCAGGTTAGAGTACAAGTCTGCATCTATCGCCTAGGATTACAAGGAGACAAGCAGTTCCATTAGTATTATATTTGAAAACATGTTTTATCTCTTTTATCCAAATCACACCTATAACACATATTATTCTGTCCAAAAAGAAAATTGCACATAAGTATTGAATATGTTTCACAACTCAACCCAGCAGCAGTTCTGACAGGATACTGTAAGTTGCTGCCTTATACCTGTCTCAAGGAAGGTAGTTACACTGAAACTAACGCACCTTAGTTGTTTACAATGAGAAGAGTCTGTTATTAACCACGATATGTGGAAGTGACCAGTATCCTGTCAAGAACTGAAGAAGCTACTTAAGTGGTCAAACGCATTTACTTCTAAAAAACTTTTGTCATATTCGCTAAATTCAGTTTTCTTTTGTAGTGAACCTACCTGGATTTCACATTATATTCAGAGAAAAATATGTTACCATTACATTTATTTTGAAACCTTTGCAGTAAAAAATATATCCTCAAATATGGATAAATGTCTATAAAATTTTTCTCCAAATATTATAATACCATGATAATTGTTTTATTAGCATTGACCATCTGTTTCTTTGCCAACATTTAGACTGTTTAGAGCAGGGGTGCTCAATACGTCGATTGCGATCTACCAGTTGATCGCGAAGGTCGTGTGGGTAGATCGCCGTGTCTCGTCTCGGACTCGCGTTTGGACTCGTTCTTGTCTCTCACTCAAGGTGTGACACTCAACAAGTGCGATCATATTTCATTACGGCTGCTGCTGTTGGCAATAAACTTGTAGCGGGGTGCAGGAGCGTGTGGGGCGTCTCAGTGCAGCCTGTGCACTCATTTGAAACCCGCGGAGACTCTACGGCACATCACAAATACACACGCTCCCTATGCACGGCTCGTCTGCAACAGCGTGTGCCCTCGTGTACCAGCGTGCATCACAGGGCAGGTTCAACTTCCTAAACATCCTACCTGTCCATCTGCCTCACGTCAGCACGCCGCCCCTCGCCTTTTCACGCTCTCGCTCCTTCCTCCATACAGCGAAACACAAGCCCCTTCCTCAGTGCGCGCTGATTAGAAGAGCAAGACGAAACGTGAAGCAAAAACGAGTCTAAATTCGTGTTACAGTGTTGGCACAAAGCAGGTCTACAGCATAGAGCAGATCTACAGAACAGACCTACTGCCACATTTGGCTGAAGTTTGCCTAACAAAAGTGCACAAATGCATCTGTGTTTGTCACGAATGTGCGTTTGGTTTGGTAAACGTGCAGAGGCTGGTAAATATCACTGCAAAACCAGAAAAGAATGCAACTCCAGTTTGGAACTTTAAAAAACAGGTTTAAAAATCTTACTTCACTTTTTTCACAGTTTTGTGTAAAGTGCCAGAGGAAGTTCTCTTAAGTGCCAGAGGAAGTTCTCTTAAAGAAGGGCTTCTCAAACTGTGGGTGAGGGTCCAAAAAAGGGGCACAGAGTGTTTCATTGCAGTTTGCTTGGCTTTGTATTAGGTAGATCATTTATGACTTGGTCATTTTGTAAGTAGCTCGAATGCTGAAAAAGTGTGAGCACCCCTGGTTTAGAGCAAGGGCCTCCAACCTTTTTCCTCCTGTGAGCTACCTTTACAAAACAAAAATGCCAGAGAGCTACTCATTTTAACGGCCGCAAGAAATTGAAACAATTATAAGAAAGAGGGCAAGCCTTTGGGTACAGTTAGATGCTTATAAAACATAAACCGTTGTCCATTTATTAGTGCACAAAGTTGGCCTTCAAAATGATACATTTACAATGGTAATAGGCTTGTACTCAACCAAATTTTTGTTATTCAGCACAATGGTTTAATTCCAAACTCCTTTGGCGAGCTATTTGGAAGGGGGTAGAGAGCTACAGGTAGCTCCCAAGCTACAGGTTTGAGACCCCTGGTTTAGTGCATCAACTATTGGCTTTAAATCTGCAACAAAGGTCGATACTTTGTTTTGGTGGATATTCTGCCTAAAAAATACACACAAAGCTTTATTTTAACACTAGTGCAAAGAGATAAGGGCTAAAAACATGACTACACTGCTCTGTTGAAGGTTTGTGGTAAAAAGGGATGTGGGTGAGCCTGTAGCAAATTTAAATGACAAAATTTGGGGAAAACAATCACAATCTGCTCAACATATAGGCTCAGAAATATCGTCAAAGCTGATCAGCCATTGGTTTCTCTGAATTCTAAACAATCAGTATCTGCATCAGCCATGAAAAAAAACCCAAAACATATTGGTCGATCTCTAATCAAAACAATTAGTACTTCAAATACTTTATCACTTTCATGTTCTTTGTAAAACTGCCAGATTTTCACTTCAACAGGACTCATATCATTTGAAATCAGCGCAGTTCTATTTCAGTACATTTTTGGCCCCTCTGTCCTTCTCTGGCAAAAAGAGCCAAAGAGAGAGAGATTAACAGCAGCACATTTTTCATGGTAAAGTGAATATTTTATGTTTTTGCCAGTAGCTGAAGTGGTAGTAGTACAGTATTGGGGAATTTTCATTATGTCCTTGGTGAATTGGCTTGTAGTACTGGTCTTTTACAGTCCACCTGGTGTGCTCTGTTGAGTGTAACAATCGCACATTTCAAAGTGGGGAAAACTATTGTAGTCTTTGTAACTCAATTGGTCCCGTCACGCTCCAACTTTCCGGGCCTTGATACTTTTCAAACTCTGACTGGAATGCTAAAAGTCAGGCCAATTAACAGTGCACTGACATGAGGCACTGGCTTACATGAATTCATGAGCGGAGCTGCGTAGCTTTAGCTTAAATTAACAGCAGTAATTAAGTCCTACAGGCAAACTGAAGCGGAGTCTGGGCAACGAGAGGATGTGAAAGCATGTGTTTTTTTTTGTCTGAAATAACTTCAAACTTCGTTGATGTTAATTAAGCTATGCGGTTAGTTTTACAAGGAAAGTTGTAGACTGTGACCCCTTCTTGCATCTGTTCAGCAGTTGAACAGATACTACTCAAGTTACATTACATAAAACAATATTTTCACTCTCATTGTTGCCATCTTTCATGCCACTGCTACAAAACTAAAAGCCTCAACCTGTCCATCTCCTCCTTCTCGTCACCACCAACACTTGACACTTTCCCTTTATACAAGTCTTTTTGTCTAAGCACATCTTGTCTTTCCTAGCTTTGAAAGGTGCACTATGTAACTTCTAAGGTGGAGGGTCCTCTACTTGCTTGTCTCCATGAAAATGTTATTTCTTTGCTTGGAATATTCCACTTTAGGGCATTAAAGCATAACGGCATTGTATTTATTCAATTGCAAGTGTTTATAGCTCAAAAACACCTTAAAACATGAATTCCTAGCATGTGCAGGCTTGCTTTTCCATAGCTCTGACCATCAACCTGTCTCCATTGTGATTACCAAATTTATTTCCATATTGTGAACTAATCAAGGCAAAACAGTAATATCTCCATGGAGACAAGCAGCTGGTGGACCCTCCACCAAAAAAGTTACACAGTGCACCTTTAAGTCTCTCCTTATGTTATAAATATTAATATTTTTTGTCAATTTTGTAGAACATTCCAAGCAAAACAATAACATCTCTGCAGAGAACAGCAAGTGGCAGAAAAGTTGCATTATGCACCTTTAGACATTGCTATGATCAAAGGTACAATGGTACGTCCGTATTCTATCTTCAAAAGGCACATCTGTATTTTATTACATTTTATCTCTTTATAAATAATATACAATATGCAATATATGAAAATCTTATTGCTGACATTTGATAGTACATAACCAAGCCTGTATTCACAATGTATGTTATTCCTCCCAGAAAATACAGTCTTCAAATGTTTCCTCTCAAGGGATTTGCTCCTGACTCGTTGGAATTCACCAAATGGCCATAAAAAAATCTCACCCTGAAGCGCTCTCATAAACACATTCATGCATAATGCAGAGTATAGTAGGATGCCTTGGGGGCGCTGCATTCACTCACCTTCAGCTCCAGGATGACGGTGTCTTTGGGACTGTTCTCGGGCAGCTCCACACGGTACTGCTGCTGGGTGAAAACTGGGCTGTTGTCATCCACGTCCAGCACCTTGATGAAGAGGGTCAGTCTGGATCTACGGGGGTCCACCGCACTGTCCGATGCCTCCACGATCAGGAAGTAGTGTCCTCTCTCCTAAAAGATTGCACAAGGGAGTTTTGGAGGTTTACTACAGTCGAAAAACAGCTAAGTGAGGTGTGCAAAAGTGATAGCTGAGCATAGTTTTAATAGTGTGAAATGTTTCAGTAATGGGCCAAGGACACAGTGATTAAGTTGTGCGTTCACTTAAGATTCATGTGTTTTGAGATATTTTAGAAGAATTTCTGTCAGAAAATGTTGTGTTTTTTTGGTCCTTAAAGGTGCACTGTACATCTCATATCAACAAAACATTAACATTTTCTTGGAGACAAACTTGTGGCAGACCCTTCACCAGAAAACTTATATTAGATGATATTCCAATATTCAAAGCAGCTTCAGTTTTGGTCTGATACAGATACTCACACTTTATTTTCCTTGTGGATGTTATTTAAAGGTACACTGTACATGTAAATGTAACTTTCCTGTCTGGCAGTGCGCCACCTGTGTGTCTACATGGCTATGTTATTGATTTGCCTTGAAAGTTCCACAACATGGCATTAAATTTAAAATCACGGGTGTTTTTAATTCTCAAAAATACCTTGAACATATGGTTCTTACAGTGACTGGGTTACCTCTTTATAGATTTTGGCCTCTAATGTGGCCTTTTCTCCTTAGATAATTTAAATGCCATATTCTGAAACATTCGAGGCAAAACAAACACATCTCCATGGAGACAAGCAGGAGGTAACTGCCAGACAGAAAAGTTGCATAGTGTACCTTTAAATATAACATTCACAGGAAAAATAAAGTGTGAGTATCTACCAACACTGAAGCATCTCTGAATAGTGGAATATTATCTAAATTATTATGTAACTTCTCTGGTTGATGGTCCACCACCAGCTTGCCTCCATGGAAATATTAATGCTTTGACTAGACTAGAGAATGTTCCTTAGTATGGTAGTAAACATATTTATCTCAATTTATTTCACAAGGTGACACCACCAGGCCAAGCTGCATGCAGGTCAGATCTGTCAAGAGGCGATATTGTAGAACATTCTAAACAAAGCAATAACACTGACACAGACAGGCCAGCAGAAAAGTTAGTGTGCCTTTAAGAAAACAGGTGCCTCGGTTCAGAGCCACTCTTGAAATCCATCCACCATACATGATGCTGTTGTCTTGTCATGTAATTGATAAGCCCATTACCTCTCTGTCCAGTGGCGCTGCCGTGGAGATGGCTCCCGTGGCGTTGATGGAAAACAGTCTCTGGTGGTTGACGAGGCGATAATGGACCTGACCGCTCTCACCCAAGTCCGGGTCTGTGGCCTGGAGACAACAACAAGAGTAACAAATAAACAAAGACGGAGGCGCTGTCCAATCAGAGAGGAGACATTGATTATAACCCATTACAGCGCCACCCCAGAGGCCTTCTCTATACTGATTAAAAGAGTGTGAGGTGGGAGTGGGGAAGTAGACATGTTGTAAAAATCAGCTTTATGTCTGGCAAAAGTTTACACCTCCTAACTGTAAAATCAAAAGTTGCAGTAATAATGTATTGATAGGGGTATCCAACATGGTTTATTTCCATAGCAAAGCAGTTTCCCCAAGTACGGCGCTGTGAAATGCATAAATAGCCAAATTGGCTCTTGTAAAATAAGACCAATAAAACCACAGTAAAATCTTAAGACCAAATAAAAGTAATAAGAATATAAAACACAGTCAAACACACAGGCTTTTTATTGTTTTATTTATTTGTAATATGATTAGATTTGAGCTGCACAGGGTGAGATCTGAAACTTCTTTGCTACTTATTTATTGTAGTTCATGCTTTAACAACAGTTCTTTTTGTGTCATTGTATGCAAGTATGTTATATTATTTTATGTAATAATAACACACTTCAAATTTCACATTTTGACAGACCATTATACTTATAAAGGTCCTATATTAAGAAAAAATAACTCTTGTCATATTTAAGCCATGTTATAACACTGTTACCTAATCAAAAACATAATAATATTAGTCTATCTACATCTTCAAAACTCAGAATGTTCTGTTCCACCTTGTGATGTCATGAAGCGGTAGTTTTCAAATTAACAGCTACCATTTAACTTATGCTCAGTAGAGATTGGAAATTGCAAGGGAGACATTATCCAAGCTCTTTAACAGTTTAACCCTCTTTACATGATGCTGGTGTTTTTATTTCACTGTTTTGTCCATAAATAAATTCCTATTACTAATATGGAACTTGGCTCCAAATAACTGCTAGCCTCGTGAGCTTCATTTGACTGGAGACGAACTCTAAGGGTGATGTCACACTCCCTTAGTCCACTTCTTTACACTCTTTGGTACAGGCTTAAAATTGTAATACTTGTATATAGAGTGGTGTATCAAGGAAAAGTAGATTTCAAAATACCACTTATTACAATAGTTTTCCAGTCAGTAAACAAAGCCCTGAATTCCACTACATTAAAGGTATTCTGTAGGCAGTTATTTATCTCACCTTTGGCCCTGCTCTGAGTGTTACAGCAGCTGCATGCCCGATGTGGAGTGACAGTGTGTTTACAGTTTGACAGAGCTCCACTCTGCTCTTTGTTTGTTGCTCTGGCCCTGTCCTCAGACTGATACCAGGTCTAACGTGTTGACAAAATGACAAGCCCAAACCTTGGACTCTTGCCTCCTCTTAAGTGCATGTGTTGTGGTGTCAGCAGCTTTACCGGAGTCACTCAAGGTTTCTACATGTTATAATGCCAGGGCTCAAATGTTATGTATAATGTGATTGGACACATGGACTGAACATATTTACTATTGCCATCAATAATACTGTGATTGTATAGGAAAACATAATATATCTAATATATATATTAATAATAATATATGGGGATGGAGGTGTTTTAAAAAAGATACAATGTACTTTAGTCGACTATATTCTATTAATATTAATATTGTTATGGATGTTGTTAATAATTTTTAGGACAGTTTAAATCACAATATTGATCTAAAAAACTTAAAACAAGTCTGCTGAATTCCGCGTCAGAGAACTGTAACGTCCAATGGGAGCTGACATATCCATAAACGTCATCACAACAAAGACCGTAGCTGTCAGCACCTCGTAGTGATAGCTGCACATCATCTGGCAAGTAGTGGATTGTCTGTGCAGCGCAGCTGAATCCTACTGTCGGTGTCGCACAGATTTAAGAAAATAAAATTGGATAACAAAGTAAGTACAGAGCAGTAGTTGTATACCGGTGAAAATGGGGGTTGATAGGAGCAATGAATCTTGATTATAGGAGTATACAGTTTACTCAGACATTAATGTATCAAGTCAATTTTGAGTGGATAAGATAGATCTGCTTTAAATAATTTATTTTGAACAAAAGTAATAAATGAGTGACTGTATAATTGGTAACACAAATAACTACACCTTCGTCATGCTATATTATAGCTAATGAAAACTAATACATAATAATAATAATAACAAATAGTGAAAAATAAGGCTTTAATAAGGATAGACACTTTGTAGCAAGCTGTACAGTGGCTAGTAGGTGACTAAGAATATTCTTAAAAGACTACAAACCTTGAAAAATAAAACTGAAAAACTGAAAGTATTCAAGGCATTGTACAGCAAATTTGTTTACAGACTACAATATAAAATTATTCAATGTGCAGGGACTAGAATATATCAGTAAATAAAAGTCAAGATTCTGGGTGGGTGCCCAAATCCAAGTGTTTTGAAAGAGAACACCGTCTCCTTGTGTCCAAGGTCAAAGAATTGTCCAAAATGTTTTTGTGGCTTCACATTTCAATTATTTCAAGGCTATATTTTTGCTGTTAGAAAAGTTGCATAATGTTATTTGAATATGTTTTGCTTGCACTGATCCTGCTGGTTGGCTGGCCACGTTATTTTGTTGTTTTCTGGGACACTGCATTGGCCAGAATACAAAACTCCTATTTACACCAAGAGCACATTTGCAAAAAGCCCATTTTATGTAAATGCTGTCTTTCAATAAGTCACTGACAGCTAAACAGTGGCTTAAAAGTGACTGAAGAGAACATGTCTTAATATTTAATTCTCATTAGTCATTGGCGATGGCATTATGGATCATTAAAGACTCATCTAATTTTGACATTATAACTATGACAATTAAACATAATTTTCATCTATCTGCCTTCAAAAGCACGAATGGGCTCTTTCGATTTGTATTCTTCAAAGCACTGCATTCTGGGAGTTGTATAAATTAAATAGCGTGCGTCTAGCTTTTGGACTGATTATGTGGAGTTGTTTGGAGTAATGGACTGATTCGCAGACATGGTTTATTCTGAAGACGGGCCTGGTTCACACTGTTCACATTCTCAATAACTCAATAGTACAACAGTGCTGTGGTGAAACACACAAGCGCTGACATTCACTGACATTTCATGGATGGAAAACAACACCACATGACGCCCAGCCACACCAGTAATCACCCACAAGTCTGTTCACCCAAAATACAGCTAAACTACACACTTTTGGACTCTGGGAGATAATGACAAAAGGACAGTAATAAAAATAAGCATATTCAAGGTTGTAAATAGAAGGAGTTGGTAGTAAAGGTGGATAGTATTATTAACAGTGTGGTTATTCCAATGTACAATATTCAAACAATATTATGGCAGTCCAGCAGAAATGTCCTATATCTTGCATGTTCCCTTTTAAGTACTTTTTGTTTTACACTTAAATACTTGATCAGTGGTGGAATGTAACAAAGTAAAAGCAGTACTGAACTTAAGTATACATTTTAGTTATCTCTACTTTAGTTACATACATTTTGGTGGATACTTTTTACTCTGACTTCATTACATTTGAGAGCAGGTATCTGTACTTTCTACTAGGGATGGGCATTCGATTAAATTTTCTTAATCGATCGTCAGGAGAATTAACAATTGATTATCGATTAATCATTAACGTTTCTATATAAAAATTACCATCATTATTATTACTATCTGCACTACTAATCTGCATAAATAAATTCAACTTTACAACATATAAACCATAACCACTCTAGAGCGACATAAGCCCGTTTGAGGTTATAATGTGTTTATTGCAGCTTTGCGCAACTCTCACAGAAACGAAACTTAAAACCGCATGGCTAATTAGCATAAACTAAGCAAAGGAAAAAAAAACAGAAGGAAAAAAAAACAGCTCTTGTGTGCTGATGCGACACAACTCAGTGGAATACAGGTAAGTGTGACCATATTTGCGTTTGTCAAAACCAGGACACCGTACGGGGGGTGGGAGGTTGGGACTCGTCATCGACATTGCGCTACTGTCACCTGGCAAAACTTTTTCCCACTGGACACCGACACATATGTGCTGTTTTGTACACTGCACATGGCCTCACACTTGTCCTGACCGGAACGGAAAGCGTGGAATTTCTTGTACAAGTCCTCGTTAAATACGCATTTGCGCTTCGGCACATTGCAAACTGTTTGTGTCTCACTCCTTCTGAGTGAAGAGAGCTACATGTACGGACCCGTTTGTCCCTGGACATGGACGTTTGGTCACTCTACGCTACGCACAGCAACCTACATTCGGTTTGTCGATTAAAATGAACGTAATCGATGAAATTCTTAATGATCAATTATCGATTAATCGACTAATCATGCCCATCCCTACTTTCTACTCCACTACATTTTTTATTGAAAAGTAAAAGTATTTTTATTAGAAATTGAGACCTGCTGAAAAGTCTGAGGGGTTTATTTTTAACATGTTCATAGTTGGAGCAAACAAAAATGGACATATAAAAACAGCTAGGAAAAAAGTATGGTAATGTAAACAGCAACAACAATTCCTCTATCACTGCAGTTTTGAAAATACATCAATACAAAACAAATCTTTGAAAACATTTCCTGCCTATTTTGTTGCTTTGAAAACTACCACTTTTGCACATTATTGTCCATGTCTAAACACAGGGACATCTACCAAGAACTGCTAAAGCAAAGATAAAGCACTTTAATTTTTTTTTTTTTTTTTTCAATGAATTTCAATATAAACTGAAATAAAAAATAATGCTTTTCAAACCAGTGAAGGTGAACACAACTTTCTACTTAAAGAGTACTGTTTTACCACATGAGTGTTTTCAGTTTAAGAGAAAAGCTCTGAATAAATAGGAAACAAAACACAATTCTAGGTATTCCAGGTTTGTAATGAGGAAACAACATTATAACAAGATCAGAAAATAGCGTAATATGGGACCTTTAACTAAACCATCACAATTACAAACTCCAAACTTCTGTGCTTTGACACTAACCAAGCATTCCCTCACAGAGTCCTACCATACGGTGAAGC